AACCATTCTCCGTGTGAGAATAGGCCTTTGCTTAGCAGTGGGCAACTATATTTTTTTATGTCATAATGTCGGCAAACGAGCAGACGGATTACCTGATGGTAAGCAATCAGCGTCACCCATGGACACCCGCAACGGAGGAGTTACTAGTGCGTTGCCGACCTTTTAGGGATTAGGGTTTTGGAGATTTAGGGATCGGGGGAGGGGAAGGATTGGGCCTTCGGTAACCTCACTCACACGGCGAAACACAACGCTGTGGCTGTTTCACGCCGGTTTTCTGTGAGGCCGTGGTATCACTCCTGTCAAGCTGACCCATTCGTGCCGCATCATGGCTCTTCCACACTTATTTAAGTACAGTAACAAAGTTCAAGGTCACCAAAAAGCGATTAGCGATTGGCCTGATACTGATCTTGACTGTAAGTTAACGGTTCGAGATCAGTCATCACGAATGACAACCGGATATCATTATATGATTACGTCACAAATTTGTGACGTCACTCTTAATATGCGTCCGCGCCACTCTATAGATACGAAAGTAAATAATATTATGTTTTATGTATTCGATTTTCAAATCTCCGTAGAACAGTTAGACGTTAGAGGCATTGAATGATTACTCAAACTGTTTTTTTTTATTTTTGGTTCGATTTTGTTCCATAATGCTTGGTAAAAAGAGTCTATATCAGGTTGAGACCAAATTTTATATTATGCATATAGCGTTGTACATACCTATAGGAGTACATATGACTGAGGCTACCGCAGCTTGCATCCCTCCCTTTTTTGTAGAGGAAAAGACATTAACGGACATCTCCCGACTAAAAACTCAACTATTCCTTCTCCTGCTCCAGGTCGAGGCTGCTTAACCTTACTGCGCTTAACACGCGACCCCCTCCCCTATCTTTAAATCTTCAAAGCCCCATATCTCCAAAAGATCAGCAACGCATTTGCAACTCCATCTGTATTGAGCGTCTATAAGCGACACCGAATGCTTACCATTAGGTATCATATAAAAAAGGAATAGCGAACAAACAAATATACCAACTTCCGATAGGATAGGCTTCATATTATTATTTATATCTATACTAATATTATAAAGAGGTAAAATTTGTAAGTTTGTATGTAGGGTGTAAACTTTGAAACCGCTGGTCGGATTGCCAAAATTATTCACTGATAGATAGCTACAATGTTCCTGAGTGCTATAGGCTATAAAACATCACGCTACGATTAAATGGAGACCAGCAGCAGGTGAAACCGCGCGAGAGTAGCTAGTAGCTTATATTTTTACTTTAATTACGCGAGCGAAACTGTAGGCGGCAAGCTAGTTTTCACATAAACGCGAAATCTTTTTTTTAACTGTCCGTTTTACTTGCGTAAAAAGCCTACTTTAAAGTCTCTATTAATATCAACGAAAAAAAGGTTTTATTAAAACCATGATTTACACTGATTTTAATTAATAGGTTAACTTGAAGATAATAATTTTAAATTTAATGGAACATTTATGATTTTTTTAAAGACCATTTTAGCTGTACACGTTTTCATACAAACTTTCAAGTCGAAATAACATGGAAAGTACTGCAACGATTTTGATGAAACTTTGTAGTGATACACAATATATGAAGGTTTAAAAGTTTAAATTTTCTTAATATTATTTAATCGAGACTCCCGATTTTATGTTTGTATGGATATTTAAAACTGTCTCTTTCTGTTTCTCCATTTTAATATCTTTTTAAAACTCCTTAATAAACATGAGTGCCGAGTTTCATTACCTTACCTTTCTTTCATCATATGACTTCTGCCTGGTTTTTATGTGATAGGTAGGATACGAGCGAACGTATTACCTTCCTGGAGGAGATAAGGTAGGGACGAGTGCGTTACCGACCTTTATGGAATTTTGAGATTTTGGGATTGGGGGAGGGGAAAGATGGGATCTCCGGTAACCTCACTCACACGGCTAAACACAACGCTGTGGTTTTTTACGCTGGTTTTCTGCGAGGCCGTGGTATCACTCGAACCGGCCCATTCGTGCCGAAGCATGACTCTCCCACACTCGTTATTTCGAAAGTTTGTATGGAAAGTCGCGCCGCGCAAGCACTCTTAATAATCAGTTTTTAATTCTCTTCTTTATGGTTAAAAATAGTACTTATATGTGGTGTAGTCTTAATACAATGTTACTAATGTGGCGCAGCGCTACAGTAAAACCGATCGTAATCCCATCCGCCAAAGCTTACAACGTAACTGTTAATTACTAATTAAATAAATAAATGTGTTCATTAAAATTTTATGACTTTTTTAATTTACGTCAAGTGTTGTGTAAGGTAGCTCCTCTAGGTTGATTTTATTGGTTTTTCTTTCACAACTAACTTAGGTAGCTACTTGAATTTCGATGTTTTTTTTTCTCTTAATTAATTGTCGTGGTTACACAGACAATGTATGTTGTATCTGGTTCAGAAAGAAGCCAGCACAACAATGTTTATAACACAAAAAGTTAGAAAAGCCGTGTCTATAATCAGTAGATCCTGACGCTCCCTCTCGCCGGGATAAGCTATGAAAAAATGCATTATTATTGTTGATCGCGTGTTTCTTTCGTAGAGTTTAATCGTCAAGTCAAGCAAAATATTTTTGGAATGCTTAACATGTGTGTGCATCTATCTTTTATCAGTTATGTTAGAACTTTAAGCTATTGCAGACTGAAAATATAAAAAAAAATCGACACCCCATTATCACTTTTTACTACAACCCTACATCATTCTAATTATCAGCCTATAAGTATCCACTGCCGAGCAAAGCTTCCCCCATCATCACTCCTTAAATCCCTTACATCATAAAACGCCGTCCACGCAATTCTAGTAGCTCCTTTGGTATTACTAGTGTCCATGAACTACGCTGATTGCTTACCATCAGTTAATCCGTCTGCTAATTTGCTGACTTATGGCATAAAAAAGTCAAATTCAAAATCATGTATTCCAACTAAACCATAAACAGGTACCTAGGAACTATTGAAAAGTCAAAATAGAATATTATTAGATATACCTAGTCTGTCAGTCAGTCTGCCAGTGAAGCTAGGTGCTCATTACAAAGTGTAGATTCTAATGGAGAAGAACGAGCAAGAAACTCTATCTTTAAAATATAGATATACATATTAGCTTTAAATCTCACCAATTAATACATTATTTAATTAATCGCTACGCTTGCTCAAAGTATAGGAGAATCTTCCTCAACCGATTACACAAAATCCTTCATAATTCTTAATCGTCTGACTGGTCCTAACCTCTGGCCAGGAATAATGGCTGCATGCTATCGGTCAAATCTTGGTTGCATCTCTTTGTGTGCCGTCCACTGAGCGTGACGGACCGCGGTATGCTATATGTAGCTAGTTAATCGTGTGTAGATTCTGGGATATGCGTAATCTTTGACGCTTGTGTTAATGCCAATTTTTGCCAAGTTTTTAAGACCGATCTTGATCCAAATCCATACATTTTGGTTTTTTTTATTTTTTATAGAAATGTTGTAAAAATTGCAGAATTAAATCAAATGAAATCAAAATCATTTATTCCAAATAAACCATCAAAAGGTACTTTTGAAAAATCAAACTTGAATAGTTATCTGTCAGTCTGTTCGTGAGTGAAGTCACGTGCTCGTTCCAAATTGTAAATTTGAATGGAGATGAACGAGCAAGAAATTCCATTACCAAATAAAACCTTAAATTATCCTAACAACAGACCAACAAACACATCTACAATAAAACAACGTTGCAAAGCATTCGCCTCCAAACTTAGGAACTAGGTCTACCTAGGTTTTAAACGTGAGGTCTAGACCTCATAACGTCAATCTAATTTCAAACTACCCGACATATTACAATAACCTCAACGTCTACGAGGGAGCGAGATATCAACAAAGAAAGAGACGAATAGATTAACGCTGTGCTTAGGCGAGGGGCGGCGCTTAGCCACGCCCACATATATCGATCGCTTAGCTATAATTTATTCATAATTTCAGTTATTAGTGCCTTCGTTCGAATAATATACGCAGAGAGGGTTATTCCCAACAAAAAAAAAATGCAAATAAAAAACCAGTAGGTACCTATATTACAATTTTAATTACAGAGTCATTAAATCATCTTAAATTACAATTACATTTTCGTTAAAAAATATTAATTGAGATTTAATTACAGATTTTATTGCTTTGTAGTATTTATTTTCTATGTAAATTGGTTATTTATTATGTGTTCTTATATGTATAGATACTTAAGAGCGGAGATGAAACTATATAGGTAACATTGATTTAGGTTTCCTTATATTAATGGTAGTAGATACTTATGACAGAAACTAGGTCTCTGACTAATTGCTAAACCATTAAAATTAAAGCAATATTAGACCATTAATAATATCCTTGAAGGTTAATAAAAACTTAATTAAAGTACGTTTATTGCATACCTACCTATATGCATACCTATAGTATCTATAATATAGGTATGTTACAAAGCACATAGGCACGAATTTTTTAATTGTGAAATTGATTGAAAAAGAGTCAAGAGTCCCCATGGATTTTCTTCTTTTCTTAAAACGTTGCCCCACACTAGGATTTTCTCCTGTGTCGTGGGTGTGTTTACAAACATACAATTTCACATACACATTAGGTACGCCCAGGCCCAGAACTACAATTTGTGGATCGCACAAAGAGTTGTTCCGTGCGGGAATCGAACCCGCGACACTTTGCGCCGCAGCCACCGCACCAACCGTGCAGTCATTATGCTATTTCGTTCTCCGTTCGCGTTCAGTATTCGTTCTTCTCTATTTGAATCTAAACTTTGGAACGAGAAAATAGTTTCACTAGAAGAAAGACCGACAGACTGGCACACGTAGTTGAACTTTTGGATATTCGTTTTGGTTTTTTAAAATTCAAAAGTGCATATTTCTGGTGGTCTATTTGTAATAAATAACTTGACATTGACTTTATATCTTCAAGTGATAGTCCTAAATTAACTATTCTTCTTTTTTTCTTTACAGAAAAGCTACGGCTATCCCTGTGCGTGGGTTGCGGTGGTCAGATCCATGACCAGTACATCCTGAGGGTGGCTCCGGACCTGGAGTGGCACGCAGCCTGCCTCAAGTGTCAGGAGTGTCGCCAGTTCCTGGATGAATCCTGCACCTGCTTCGTTAGGGACGGGAAGACATATTGCAAAAGAGATTATACTAGGTAGGTCTTTTTGGAGATATAATACTTCTTGGATTTAACATTACATTTTTTTTTAAGTCCCTTGTATGCTTTGCTAGGATTCCCAGTGTCGTGAGGCCCAGTGAGGCATATTATTTTGTCTGAATGACACTGGTCATTCAGACAAAATAATATTTAAAAAGAGAAATAACAACGAAAGTACCTAAATTGGAACAGGATGAAAAAAGTTTTTTTTTAAGTTATCATCATCTTTTTTTATCATTTAAAAAAAATAAAAAAAAATAAAAAATCTTTATCATCAGCCTATAAGTGCCTACTGCTGAACAAAGGCCTCTTCTCATACGGAGAAAGGAGATTTGGGCTTTAATCACCACGCTTGCTCAAGTTTGATGGCGATTTCAGATTTATACCTAATTAGAAATTATACATCCAGGTTTTCTCACGATGTTTTCCCTCATTGTGTGTCAATGGTGTCTAAACAACTCATCATAGAAAGTACATGGGTACTATACTTAACTCTGAGTCACATTAGAACCTACCGTCATGTGAGTGTGTTTCTCTTACCATAATACCTAAACCCCAAAAACCCTAATCCTCAAAATTGCGGTGACGCATTCCTAACTCCTCCGTTGTTGCGGATATCCCTAGACATGCTTATGCATGCATCTGGCTGATTGCTTACCATCAGGTAATCCGTTTATTCGGTCGCCGTCTTATCACATAGTAAAATATACTAGAGACTTCTCCAGCTTGGTCAAACCAAAAACCAAGACTTTCTATCTAAGTTCTTACTAAACGAACGAACTAACTTGTAGGCGGAGGCAATGTATGAACAGGCTACGTACCAAAATCCTAAATAATACAGGCAGTAGATGGCTAATACTGACTTCACTTATTTGACCGTCCACTTCTGTATGTTTGCACTCAAAACATTGAAAAATAATGTCCAAAGATAGAGCCATCACGAATTAAAGAATAATATTTTTTTCAATAAGAAACGCTGGTTCTCGGTTTATCGATCAAATATTGATCTTCAAATCCCTCAAATGAAGACACCAATATTCTCACCAAAGCGTAGCATCAAAACTAGAGAACATGTCCTCATTACCAATCTAACAGCGATCACTAATTTCAAATTTCTAAAAAAACAACGTGACAAAAAAATAAACTAAAAGAAAAAATCTCAACACAACATCGGTAATCGAAAACCCGCTTATCCGGCCGGTGTAAACGGGAACAAACACAGATCGTGTTCCCGCCGCCCGCCGCGCTGTCAAACTGACGTTTGTTTTGGCGCCAAAATACATAATGCTGAGTTGAGCTCCGTTTGTTTTCACTTCGGCACATCACAGTGAGACTTTACCAACACATTTTACTGTTTGTGAAAACGTATTTTCTGTTGCTTACATTCGATTTTAGTCTTTATTACTTTCAGTTTAGGAACTTTGAGGTTATGAAATTTTTTTTCACCAATCGTTTCTGTTTGTTTGTATTAGTGTAATACTATATTTTAGCAGCGAGAAATGGAAGGGTGAAAGGATAAACATTAGAGGTTATTTTAGTGAATTTCATCTTTGGTGTCTGTGTGTACAAAGTGGCGCCCGACTTTTGATTGACGTAACGCCATCTTTTTTTAGACGAGAGCTCTAGGCTTTTTGTAAACTGTTGATTAACGGAAGAATTTACATTTCTAATTCCCACTGATGAATGTTGGAGCCAAATTCTTAATTCAAAAATAATTTGCATTCATTATCAAGTTTTTTTTTGTGAGGTGAAAATCATCAAATGACTTCTCCCGCCCAGGGCCGGGCAGGAGGGAGTGTCAGACTCTTACTGACTAAAAACCCCCCTGTTCCTTCTCCTGCTCTGTGCCGAGGTCGCGGTACCTCACTGCGCTTACCCCGCAACCCTGGCTATTCATTATCAAGTTGGGCCGTAAATAAAAACTATTTTTTAGTCTATAAGCTAACTTATTCTTCATCTACTTACTTTTTTTGATTAGATTTTGATGAGTATTATTTATGTCCATCTATCACTAAGAATATATGTACATACTACACAGTATAAAACATAAAACAAAGTCGCTCTCTATGGATCTGTCCCTATAGCCCTATGCATGCTTAAATTTTAAAGCATCGCAACCGATTTTGATGCGGTTTTATTTGTAATTAATAGAGTAATTGCATCCATCCATTCAAATAACACCCATTAAATAGTAAAGACATTTTGTATCAGCATTTCACCCGTGCGAAGATATAATATAGATCTTAGAAACATTCTTCTTCAAATTACACTGGATAAGTACCTAAGTGTAATTCTACAATGACGTAACAACCGACTCTATCTGTCTTCCAACTTATACCAATTTAAGTAAGAAAGTTGTACATATTATACACACACTCCGAACTAAAGAACTGGAAATCTCTGCTTCAAAAAACCTTTTATATCTACCATTGAACTTCACATCAACATGTCCTCAGATTTCCAACTACGATAGAACCACCGGCCTATTTAATCAACAAACATAGAATAATCAGTTCTAAATATCTCAACATAGACAACATAGGTAGGTACTAACATAATTCGGTAATTTTGTTTTCAAACGTAAGTAAATAATTAATAGATATTAAATTCTTGGAAACTAACGATGGGAAGCCGCTTCGTTCAAAGACTTTATCAATAACGATTTCACTGTTAAAATCTACACAATAGTACAATTCTGAATTAGGTAAGTACTTATCTATAGTTTTTCTAAGAATTTTTCGTAAAATCCTTGAAATTGCAGGTGAGGTGAAGTGACGCAATAGTGTAGATATTGTTATGCTAAGGTCTTCTATCTAATAGGCCACGTATTATTTTTATGTTATAGGGTTTCAAACGAGCAGACAGATTACCTGATGGTAAGCAATCGGCGCCGTCGTGGACATCCGCAAAGGAGTAACGAGTGCGTTGCAGGCCTTTTGAGGATTAGGTTATAACTATTTTTCAATAAATAAAAGAACATAGCGTCTTTATACAAAAAAATACAGTTTAAAGCAGCCTTGCATCTCTTCGGAATCTAGTGAACAAATGTGTATAATTATTTTTAGTTTTTTTACTAGTAAAACTAGCTTAAAAAATAATAAAATACCCATGTAAAAAGAAAACAATAACATTAAAAAACCAAAACAATAATAAAAATATAATCGAACGTTATAAATAACCCTTCAAACGCTAGCGTTGGACGGAAATGGATTGTTTACACCACCGGTCGAAGCGACCGCGTCCATCATCTCGCGGTAAATATAGGAAATGTACTGAAAATACTTCATTTCACATGTTTGTTATAGTGAGTACTTTATCATCAATCATTTTGAGGAAATGACCGGGTCAAATGTTTTTTTGTGTTTTTGTACCGTCCCAGGATTTCCTATGGGAAGTTGTGACGTAAACATTTTAGGGTTATAATTGGTTTACTTTTTACGTGTCAAAATGTTTGAGGCGATCAATTAAGGAAATGTGATTATTTGTTTTTTTTTTTTACTTTAAAGGTAGTCTGGTGAAGATGTTTTATTTCAACGATTTTACCTAATTAGATCTGTCCGTTTACTTGGTGTAATGTCGTAAATAAAATACCTATACAAACTACGTGCTCTAAATTATTAGAGGATAAAAATACACATATCAATTTCTAATTCCCTAATATAAACTTAATAAAAAAAAAACAACTAATGTTTCTGTCAAAAAAATATGACATGAAATTCCTTGACATGTGACACATGACTGTATTATTTCAAAATGAAATCAAAACATTTCGACACACCAAATACCTAAACGCCAATGAAATAAATCCATCCGATTCTAAATTCAAATGAACGAATGACAGTTCTAACTAAACAAAGCAAAATAAAAAAAAAAAGATTAAAAATAAATAAAGAATTACTCGCAATAGTACCAACATAAGCAAATGATTTACGCATCCCACAGCTCCCGCGCGCATGCGTCAATTAGCGTAACTTAACACCGTGTTGGCGTATCGCATTACTGTTTACATGCTATTTACAGTGACGTGTTCCGATGATGGGTGACGAGGCTGTGTGGTCCTAGGGTACGAAGCATAGAAGAAAAGGACCAGCATCCGTTGCAAATTTTAGCATCTTTTCGTTGAACCAGCCTGCTTTAATCGCCCAAACGCCTGTAGTCTGTACCTACATATTCAACTGTCTAAGGGACACAAAATGTTCAGCCGGGGTTGCGGGGTAAGCGCAATGAGGCACCGCGACCTCGGCCCAGAGCAGGAGAAGGAACGGGGGCGTTTTTAGTCAGTAACAGTCGGACACTCCCGCCCGACCCTGGGCGGAAAAACTCATTTACTGATTTTCCCCTCACAAAAAAAAAGTGACACAGAAAGTAAACCTTCATACTTTCAAGAAAAAGGCGTACCCCTTCCTAAAATGCACTTGTGTGTCTTCTGGTGTTGTGGGTGTCCATAGGCGGCGTTGATGGCTTACCATCAGGATATTCGTTCTGCTCATTCGCCAATTATTTCAAAAAGAAATGTCTTGGAATACTTTTTTGTTATCTACGATACTTTGCGAAAACCCTTTGAATTAAAGTTGTTGTTAGATATTCTATTATTATGATATTATGGCAAAAACTTGACTTAGTTCATTTAATGTATCATAAATTGTTTTTTTTTTTCAAATAAGTAGTACCTATACAAAGTTTCCCATCTGACTGGCGAGAAAAACTGAGAGGCCAGTCTCTTAACTTTCAGACAAATAAGTAAGGGACAGGAGAAGAAGTTGATTCTGTAGGTATTGGTATTTTGAGGAAAGACACACACACAACAGTTTGAAAAGATCTGTTCTTAAGCCGTCTACTCGAGTTTTATTACTCGCGTCATTCTGTAATGTTTTCCCATATTAACCCCTTCAACGAATTACCAATAGATACAAATACTCCGTCCCCAATTACGTAAACAAACATTATCAAAAAGTCCATCCATATAAAGAGATAGCAATCGCAAATAATGTTACCACACTATCAGACTGTGATAATCACTGTGTACGTTGATAATATTATGATAAGTAAGATAGACAAGTTTCTAATTCATCATAGTCTAACATAAATAATAATGAAAAAAAAATATTTTCATTTTTGTACCTTGAAATTTTATATCGGATAGACATATGTAAACGGGAGTTCTTCTCCAATTTGGTAAAGAAATACATAAAAAAAAAGTAGTGGTGGAAATGTAATTACTGTTATGTAATACGTTTTTAACTTAAAATTAAGTAGAACCATTCCAAAGCAAGTAATTTTCCATTAGGTAAATGTAAAAATATTCATCATCTAAATAAGAATTCTAAATTAAAATTAAAACAACAATCTATCAAAATAGGCATAACAAACTGCCCGCTCATATATTAGACGTAAAATAAGTAACGATATTATAATGATATTATTTTAATACGACTCAAAATATCCATCCAATATCCTAATGAAACCATACGTCCTTAATTCCTAAAAAACCCACAATCCAATTACGAGATCGAACAATTTTTTTACTATACCAACATAAAAAGCGGCCATTCTGCCAACATAACGAGGCGGGCAATTGTGCCAACATGAAAGCACGAACTTCGCAAGGCTGCCAACATACCTATAGTTACCTACAAAGTAAATACGATACAGGTATACATTGATATAGGCGATGCTTTTAGTGGGATTGCCGGGGGTGGCAACTTTCCCCGGTCGATGACCCCTCCCTACCTACAGGGTGGAATTTAAAAATACATCCCGCGATCGTGGTCGTTCCGCAATCTATTTCAGTTTCATAAAGTTGGTGATTGATGTAAATTCGATTTTGTAACTAAACATCTTTTCGATAGAGTTTCTTTTTTGTTTTTAGTTGTTTGAGATTTATGCCTCTTTTTGTTTTGTTATGTTTTTAAGGCTTGCCGCAGTCACAATCTTTTGATGAGTGGGTTAATATTTTTTACTTGCAACATGAGAATAAAATGGAACGTGAAGTTTATTATTTTCAAGTTAAACTTACTAAATGTACAGACTCGAGAGAAAATCAATACATAGATATGTAGCTATGTACCTACCTATGCTTAAATCTTTAAAACTACGCAACAGATTTTGATTTAGTGTTTTGTAATAGATAGAGTGATTGAAGAGGGAGGTTTATATGTATCTATAATAACATTCAATAGACAGTGGAGAAATTTAGTATCAGCATTGCACCCGTGCGACACCCAGGCGAGTCGCTAGTTTGTTATTTGACGAAAATATTTCAAAAGAAACTTATTAGCTCTGAAAAATATTATGAACATAAGCATCGGGAAAAATACAAGGAAATATAATTGAATAAGGAAATATTCAACAGTAATATAAAAAGATAATTTTAGCATTCTACTGAACTCAGGGTCACGCTTCGATTCCCGCATGAGGCAAAACAACCTTCAAATTACTATGTAGGTACCTTGTCATACAGGGAATTCCTATATACTGATTCATTGTTGAATCATATGCTTTTTTTTATTTAGAAGTACATCTTTTTTCATAAAGAAAAAAATACATTGAGTTTATTATTCAGTTCCAAAAAATAACCCTGTTTTTTTTTGTCTATAAGAAATGTTAAATGATTTGAATTAGTCGATGGATAAGTAGAAGTACCAAATAAACGGTACCACATTGTTTTTATAGTAGAGCGGCAAACAAGGAGTCGTATCACCTACTAACTTTAGGAGAGCCATGCTTCGGCACAAATGGGTCGCCTCGACCGGAGTGATACCACGGACTCACAAAACCGGCGTGAAACAACCAGAACCTTGTGTTTCGCGTGTACGTGTGAGTGGGGCTATCCCTAAATCTCCGAAATCATAATAACTTCAGAGTAACTTCTCTGTATTGCGGGTGTCTACAGGCGACGCCGATTGCTTACCATCAGTTAATATGTTTACTCGTTTGCCGTCTTATCACTGAAAAAAGCCTGATGGTGCCTAAGCAATTTGCGCCGCCTATAGACACCAGAGGAGTTACAAGTGCTTTTACCAGCCTTATCCAGAGATTGGAGACACTCACATAGCGAAACACAACGCTACGGTGCCAGTTTTCTACAAGGCTTTGGTATTACTCCGGTTAAGCCAGCCCCTTTTGTGGTCCACAATCCGATTCAGAAAAAGATTAAAGCAATTTGTGTCTTTGTCCCCAGGTTATTTGGTACAAAATGCGATAAATGCGGCTCGTCGTTTAGCAAGAATGACTTCGTGATGCGAGCCAAAACAAAGATCTACCACATCGACTGTTTTAGGTGTTGCGCGTGCGCTAGACAACTTATACCTGGTGAGTATTTGTATCCCTTGCACTTTCTATCTAGGAATACTATATGACACCTTGTGCCCTGTAACCTATTAAAATTAGTTAGACTAGCAGAATGTCGGTCCTTATGTCAGCTTGGAGTTGTCATGCTCACTCAAAGGTCACATTGGCGGTGGCACGGTCACTGGATCGCTCGATTCCCTATATTATGGTTGAGTTGGGCGATGCTGGTGTACGTGTCATAGTCGTGAACGGGCGCCGTCAATTGGGACTGGTCAGCTCCGGACTGTCTATGGTCCTTAAGGTTATTTTCTTTTTATGTTTCTCTGTATACACGCGTTACACTGTTCTCACATATTCAAACTAACTAAATAATGTATCAAAGAATGTTTATGTGACACTGATTTTAAAAGAGTAACCATGGAGTTTCTTGCTCGTTCTTCTCCATCGGAATCTACACTTTGGAACGAGCGAATAGCTTCACTAAGAGGACTGACCGACAGACTGACACTTTGTATCTTTAAAGTTGTGTTGACGTTCAAAAGTGCCTGTATGGGTCTAATTGAAATAAATAATTTTGACTTTGACTTTGACTTTAACGTACCAAGTTAATTTTCGCTTATATACAAACACACATCATCGCCCTGTAAGTGTCCGTGGTTGACGAAAGGACGGAGAGGGTTTGAGTTTGCTTAAGCGTACAAGCTCAAGGTTAATTGGCGATTTTAAAATCATACTTAAAAAAGATAAGTCCGGGTTTTCATTCCTCACGATGTTTTCTTGAGTTACCTAAGATATAAAAAAATTGTTTCCCTAAAACGTTTAATTCAATGCGTCCCTAAAACATTTAAATAGCAATTACAGTACGTATATAGTGGGTTCTGTATTTTTTATTCGGCGAAAGCCTATAACTAAAAATATCTTAAAAGTCACTTTAGTTTTTTAATCCGAAGTAGTGAAACCAAATTGCCGCCAAGGTTGTGTATGCAAGAACAATGCATACCGCGGCGAAGCATAAAACAGGAGATGGAATGGGGTTTCAGTTCGTATGAGTCTGACAATGTGTGTAGGTCCCAGGGCAGGAGAAGCTATTGGATCATTTATCACCTCAAAGAAAAATAACCTAACTTGTCTGGGATTAAACTAAAGCTATATTTTTATATTAACTTTCGTGAGAAATTCTAAATTATTTATTATGTTTTCGGCTTACTCACGTTATAATTTGACGAGATACTCGACTAGTTTCAAGCCACGCTAGAGGCCCATATTCATGAGCAGCATTCCGCGACACGCGACTCGGCGACTGTCGCGCTTCTACTGGCTACTTGAGTCTGCGCACCCACCGTCGCTGCCGACACCACGGCTAGAAGAAAGTGCGCGTGAATCGCGGCAGAGGGCGCGTTACACATTAATAAATAAACTAAAGCTAATCGGGAGAAGACCAGATGAAATAGTCAGTAAATAGTAACAGTATTGTATTGTTCTAGGTGACGAATTTGCGTTGCGAGAAGGTGGAGCATTGTACTGCAGAGAAGACCACGACGTTTTAGAAAAGGTTGGTTCTAGAATTATCTAAATTTGCTACACAAAATAAGGGTATTAACGAATACCTTGGTAGGCTTGACGTTTCGACCTAGTTGCACAGGTCGAGGTCGCAAGCAGACTGAAGATGCGATGTCATATGGTGACGGTGTATGTACTAATATTGTGAAACATTTTTGTGGTATAATATAAGTAAAGATTGAATAAGATAAACTAACACAAAAGTATGATATCTTGCATACACAATGGAGAAGGATCGCGGTGGTTTTTAGTCAGTAAGAGTCAGACACTCCCTCTTACTATACTTCACCTATCAGTAACCCTCGTTATGTACCAGCGAACATGTAAGAAATTAGTCTAAAAATAGTGAAATATGTTTGTTCAGAGCGCGACTGCTAGCAGTGGCACGAGTGGCAACGCAGAGAGCAACAACAACACAACATTAAGCAACAACAACTCGCATCATCCACATGAACTCGGATCTATGTCTGGTGAGTCAATTGTCAAATACATTCGTCACAATGCGGCAAATTATTTGCCGAATTTACTGATGTTTCGAAAGCGTTGCCGGCCTTTTAGATATTACTGATGCGAACAACAAATGATATTAGTTACTACATTCAGCAACAACTTACATCAACTGTCAACAGATACATGAAATACGTTGTGAGCAATAACCACCCGTTGTATTGTATTTAGTAAAATTTTTAGGTAAATAAAATTGTCGTCATTAAAATATTATTCAATATATAAATACGTACGTTAATAATAGATTTTTTCCATACAACACTACACTAGTAACCCATTTTTTATTATTATTCACATAAAATAGGTACTACTGGTTCTTGTATGTAAATCCTTAAGCTTTCTAAAGTCTTAAATCGCCACCTGCCATGTTTAATAAAACTATTTACACAGCTAAATAAAGAGAAACTGAGTCGCTAGAAAAATATATATTAAAACTTAGTATGTAGTATATATAATATGTTATATAATAGATATAGAAAATTGTACATAATAAGAGTTATATAACAGAAGCAAGAAAAAGGCAGAAAAATATACCTACGCCAAGACAAACAATTTTTTTAAATGCATTTTGCTCCCATGGGCTTATAAGAATGGAATATTGTCAGCAGTTTTCTTTAATGTCATGAGGTTCATTCAGTTTCTGTATCTCCTACTAATAGTCAACCAATGGCATGCTTCCAACAGAATGTTTCAAAATCTCTTTTAGTACATATATGGATTAAAATCAAAAGAATCTCCAAAGTCTCTCATTGTGACTTTAAACGTAGCTTATCGTTGTTATTAACGTAGGTAGGTAGGTACAAACAAAATCTAAATCGTTCAATGAATTTGGAACTATATCATCAACAATCGCTACACATAAACCAAAGAACTCAGCCGTCGTGACCCCAAAAGACCGAAAAAAAACACATGAAAAATGGTCGTACTTACATCAAACACGTAAACAGCGATAACGCACGAATCCGCCGCAAAACTTTAGTCTACAATCTTAACATCAACCAATATTAGATCTCCCATATCATAAGTACACGCGATTACTAGAACCTTATCGATATTATCGTTACAAATTCGAGTATCGATAATCGTTTCGCGATCATGCCGTGATTTGTCGATAACGCCTTTGAACTACGCCGACAAAGGCACCGACTCGTTTGATATTGCCGAACAGAGTTAGTCGCTTGTAATAGTTATCGGTTAATTAAAAATTGTGTTAAATCTAGTTCGGGTTTTGAGATAGATAAAGATGAGGAATGATAATATTATTAGGCACTTTTACTTTGGTCCTAATTTGTGACTAAAATATGTAGGTTTACATTCAAAATACAGGCGTTATCAGTGAAAAATTTTATCATTGTGATATAACTTCCTCGGCATTGTAACCATTTTTAAAGATTCAGACAGATATGAATGTTTATCCTAGGTAGATACCTACAAAGACACGAAGGACCAAATTGAACAATATGTCGGATGAAAGGACGAATTTTTTGCGATACATCAATAATGTTAGGTGAAGGTATTTTTTATCCTAAGTTTTAGAAAGCAGATTTATCTGGTTGGTTCAGTAATGGAACGTTTATCTAGAACCTAGATAGAAACAGATAGTGATTGCATTCTATACATACCAACGTGCTTACATCACAAGGTGTGGATGGTCCTAACAGTTTAACCAGTCAATGAACTTATTTCCGAGATATTGAAAATTCTATAACAGTTTGATACACCATAGTTAATAATGTGCCTTTAGGTAATGTATGTACCTATTTGTTTGTTTTGTTTTATTTCATCATATCATTTCAATTTGAAGAGAGGTAGGTAACAAAAATTCGACTAATTTTCACCCAGCCCCCACCAAACGGTCAATGTCAAAATTAAATTTTAACACCCTCTCCAATGTCCAGAGCGAAGTTAAAATAATTATATCTAATTGGAAATGTACAAAGGTTTTAGTGGGATTATAAAGGTGTCAATTGGGGATCGGATGGACGGGGTACTAATCCAGGAGTTAACTGACCCTTCCCTCGTTCAGATGGTTATCTGTGTACTGAAGGATTATATTGTTGAAATAGATTCTAGTGAGTGCTACAGTGCATAATGAGGTATTAGGGACTCTCATGCCCCGAGAATAAGGCGCGTCGCGTTCCGCGCGCCTGAAAGGACCAATAGACCACCACAGACGGGGCGCTATAGGGCTGATGCTCAGATAGGGTTGCGAGGCAAGCGCATTGAGGCACCGCAAGAAAGAAAGCCATGCTTAAATCTCTAATAGTTTGAGTGTGTCCGTGGCATCACCAGGCCCTATCAGAATACCAGTGCTGCGATATTTTTAGCTTCTGGTGAATTATCGCAGCATATGCTGAGATAGTGGCCTTTTTGACCTCGCGCAGGTCTTTTATTTTATCTTTTAATCTTTTTTGTTGTTGTTTTGTTTATACTTTTTTTTAGTTTTTTCTTTTTTTTTTTTTTATTTATTTAAAAAAAGGTACACCAACAGCTTCTGTGTACAAATTAACAAAATTGTACGTTGTCACAAGTAGAGGGCTTACACAGTTGCCAATTACAGGTGAACCAACATTCAAGAACATAAGTGATTGCTTAAACTAAATAAATCTACTTAAATGAAATAACTAAATACAAACAGAATTAGAGTATAAAAAACAGAATTAACCTTAACAATAAAAATCTAAACAAACAAACATGAGAGCGAAATTAAATTAATGAGATCAAGATGCAATCTTAAAAAAAAAAGAAAAATACTAAATTATAATGAAAGTGGTTGTAAGATATAAACAGTAACAGCACAGTTAAGTGAGTACAATTACCTAATCCTTTAGAGCTTTATGACTTAAAATATGGGTTTTAAAGATTTTTATGGAGTTATGGTATATGTCAATTTCTGGGTTGGATTTTGTAAAACAATTCATCTCTTTGCTGAGCCTATTGAGAGGTGAATTTTCTCCTATATTTGTATTGGAAGCTTTAGTGTGGAATAAATGGGTAATGGGATATCTGGGTATTCTATAGGGGACTTTTATTCCAATTTGCTCAATCAATCCAACGCAATCCAATTTATTGTTAACTAATTTGTAAAAAAACATAAGATCCTGTACCAGTCGACGGTTGCGCAGTGTTGTCATCTTGTAGTGTTGAATACGTTGTTCGTATGGGCACCGGGGAGATACACCACCGAGGGTATACGCTAGGTGTTTTGTGAAGGCCCTTTGGATGCTTTCTATTCTTTGTGAGTGTACTGCGTAGTGCGGGTTCCACACTACGCTGGCAAATTCAACATGGCTCCGGACTAAGGCGTTATACAACACAATTTTCGTTCTTACTATCTTAAATCCTTTAGTACTTCTTTTAAGGAATCCTAGTAGCCGTGCCGATTTCGTAACTATGTTATCGATATGGCTTATGAAATTAACTTTACTGTCCATAGTGATGCCGAGATCGCGAACCTCATTTACCGTTTTTAATAACGCTCCGTTTATATTATATGTCACAGCATTAGATTGCTTTTTCCTCGTGAATCGTATATGGCTACATTTATGTACGTTAAGTTTCATGCGATTAAGTTTGCACCAGTTTTCTATTCTATCCAAATCCTCCTGAATTAGGGTAATGTCTTCATTTGAAGTTATTACTTTATAAATTTTGAGATCATCGGCAAACATTAAATATTTACAATGACGGATTTGGGCACCAATGTCGTTGACGAACAATAAAAACAAAACCGGTGCAAGGTGGGAACCCTGGGGAACCCCTGAGTCGGCAAAATATGGATAAGATTCGTAACCATTAACAACAAGAGTCTGCGATCTATGAAATAAATAAGATTTGAACCAGTTTAGAAGTGAGCCATGTATGCCATTATACTCCAACTTGGACAGTAACAAAGAATGGTCAACTTTGTCAAACGCACTGCTGAAGTCCGTGTACACGGCATCTACTTCTAGTCTTTTATCAAGAGCTTGAGTCACATCCGACACAAACTCAACGAGGTTTGTTTCTACACTGCGACCAGCTTTGAACCCATGCTGACTTGGTGAAATAATTCTGTCAATATGGCGAGTAATTATTGGACAAACAAGTGACTCAAATATTTTAGAAAAACATGACAAAATTGAAATAGGGCGATAGTTTTGAACATTGGCAGGATTACCCTTTTTAAAAACCGGGACAATTCTCGCTGTCTTCCAAAGATCAGGGAATATACCCTCAGCAAGGGAAGAATTAAAAATAATCTGCAATGGTAGAGCGAGTTCTTGGCAGCAGCGTTTTACAAACAGGGGTGGTATACAATCAGGTCCAGCACCTTTGGAAGCATCTACGAGTTTGAGCTTATTCAAAATTTGTTTTTCCGTTAATTTAATGGTGCCTAAGATTGAGTCAATACCAGAAGATCCATTGGTGGTGCTATAAGTATTGGCTGGATTTTGATTAAAAACAGAGACAAATTGATCAGCAAAGAGGTTAGCAATATCTGGACCACTGTTAGCTACCTTATCATTCATAAACATTTCAGCAGGTATGCAAGATTCTCCGCGACGTTTGTCTTTTATGAATCGCCAGAAAGCTTTAGGGTTTTTGGGAATATCGTTTTCAATTTTACTTTTGTATATGTTGTAACAATGATTTATTAAAGTATGACAACGACTACGTAGTAACTCAAAGGTAAGTCTATCTCGGGGATTATTGTATTTACGGTATTTTTGTCTAAATTTCTCTTTTTCAGACAGAGTTCTGATAAGTGACTCAGAATACCAAGAGGGATATTTAGATTTTTTTCTTACATATTTGGGTACAAAATTATCAATAGCGCTACGTAGTATACCGTAGAAAGCGTCAACTCTTTCGTTAGCATCCATACATTCATGGAAAGCATCACGCCAATTTGTGTTTTTAAGATAGGTTTTGATTTGGGTATAATCTGCTTTAAAAAAGTTGTAACCTGAACGATATTTTGTTTTTAACTGTTTTAAGTTCGAGAGCGGAATAGATATAAGGATGTTCGGGTGATGGGAGTCTAATTTGCTAAGCAAGTCGTTGGGCTTAGTAACTGTTATATCCGATATGTTACTCAATACTAGATCTAAAATTCTACTTTCAGCATTTATAATAGAGTTGAATTGATGGAGCAAATTAATTGACAAAAAGTCTACCAATGTGTAGCCCAGTGAATTTTCATAATTTGACGGCGATAGATGTAGATCGTCATTATTCATGTTCCAATCAATAAAGCCCAGGTTAAAATCCCCAAGAATCACAACATCATCGACATTATTTAGTATGTTGTTAACATTATTCAAGAAGCATTGTAAATCATTCAGTTTGACAGGAGGTGGCATGTAGATAACACAGATAGCTATTTTCTTAATATTATTGTTGACAATTAACTCAACAGACAACCATAAATCTTCAAAATCACTTTCCCAACTTTTTATTCTTACAGATTTAATTTTATTATTAACTGCGACCATCACCCCACCACCGTCTTTTTTGGATGCCTTTGTACTTAATCTATCTCTACGATACAACGAATATCGCGGGTCAATGAACTCTCCATTTGTAACGTTAGGGTTCAACCAAGTTTCAGTAAATGCTATTACATCATAGTTAGTCAGCAAAATATTTTTGTAAATATCACTAGTTTTAGTCCTCATTCCACGAACATTTTGATAATAAATATCAAGCATTGTGAATACAAAAAAACGCGCAGAACATTTATATAAAAGAAACATGAATATACCTTTATTTAATTAGTAACGTCAGTCGCTTTCATTAATTTTAAACTATCGTGATTGCGAATGTGTATAGGCTTCGAGTGAATATCTTTCCGTACAAAAATTCGACCGTTGCGTAACCAGACAAAGTCATACGACATCTCTTTAGCCAGCCTACGTGTTGCCGCATGCAAGTGTTTGCCAGTGGGGCATAAATGCTCGCTGACATACACAGGCACTCGGCTTCCACCCAAACCAATGCCCAAGTGGTGCGAGTTCAATTTGTCCGAGGGATGTTTTTTATTGAAGTTTCCAACAGCAGCCAGAAGGTTGTCACGCTGGCGGGGACTGCGGAGCTTAGCTACCACAGAGCGTGGGCGGTTATTTTCTTTGTTTTGTTTTGCAACTCTTGTAATTTGCATAATGTCACTGTCACCTATATCACAATTTGTTACCTTTGCGATATTTTTCAAGGTCTCCACAAGGTTTTCAGACTTGTCTTCAGGTAAACCGTTAATCTCCACGTTACTTTCACGCATGTTTTGCTCCACAATGCACAACCGCGTAGTGAGGTCAATGACATTTTGCTGAAGCTTTGTGTTATCGCTACGTAATTGATTAATTATGGCGTCTTTTTCTTCAAAGCGTTTCTTGAACTCTTCGAACTGTTCATTGAAAAATCCGAACGAAACTTTGAATGCAGATATTTCTCCTTGTATATTTTTCAATTGATCAGTAAGTAAATCTTTGAAAGACGATTTTACAGCGGCAGCCAATTCTTCCTTAATTATATCTCTTAAAGTGTCCTCGTTAAAACAGCGTTCATGGCTATAGGAGGTAGATATGGGCTGACGACTGTTCTTCCTCAATGTCACATTCATTAGATCAGGTGGAGTGTTTTGATTGGATTGAGTTTTATGTATGGTCTTGGGGCTCGATGTTAGTTTCCGACCTGGCGATCGACGGAGGTTACCAGAATTATTAGCCAGGCGCACAGGAGTATTAGTATTGTCGGTTTTTAGTTGTTTGCAGCAACATTCAGGGCATATCCAGGCGGACTTATAAGCTTGGTCCATGAGATAAAAGTTGTTACTTGGTATGTTCACACAAAAAATATCAAATCTTAATTTGCATTCGCAACAATCCAAAAATTCCAAATTATTTATTACATTCCGGCATCCAGCACAAGTGTAATTTTTCGGTTCCATTTTAAAAAAATATTAATTTTGCTTTAATATTGTCACTTTCAAGCAAATCCAGCCCTTATTAGAATAAAAATAAAGCTTGCAATCGTGGAGCGTAAGCCAGTAAGCGAACGGGCATGTAAGCGACGTGCGTGTGTGCGTAGCAGCGAGCGATCCGCGGGTTGCCCTAGGTCAGGGTCAGCAGCGACCAAGCAGTCGTTATTAAAAATTTTTGAAAGTAATTTGCTTATTACTCACGAACGCAAGCAAGTCCTGGTAAGATGTAGACACCACTGGATAGTTCGTCAACACAGCTTTACGGGGATATATAGCACTACTTATTAAAATAACTTTTAACCACTTTTCTAAAGCTATTAACGGAGCAAAATACAAAACAGTGTTATCACTTTGGCGTCGGTGGACGGAAAAAAAGTTCTTTTTGTATATATAAATTGTAATTGTATAGAGTGTCAAATAAATATTTTTCTTTCTTTCTTTAATAACCTACAAGAGGCCGGCAACGCACTTGAAGTAACTCCTTTGATATTACGAGAGTCCATGCGCTGATTGCTTACCATCAGATAAGCAAATCATTTATCGAAAAAGGTATAGTTTGTTATTAAAAGTCAGATTTCCTTGTCTCCGCAGATTCGGGTAGTGAGTCAGGATCGCATAAGAGTGGGCGCGCGCGTACCACTGCAGCAGCCGATGGGAAACCAACGCGAGTGCGCACCGTGTTGAATGAAAAACAGTTACATACGTTAAGGTAAGAATTTTCCTTTAATCTTTTGACTGCTGAGGTCACAGGTGACCTTAGTGGCGGTTAACGTGTTAATATTACATAAAATACATGTAAAGTAAATGTATCCTTAAAATGCAGGCGCATATCTTTATATATATAATTCTGATGTACGTGTGTATGTAATTGAACTCTTCCTAAACGGCTTGACTGATTTAAACTTTTTGGTACAATCGAATTTTTAATGGTTTTGATTCACAAATCAGCCAGGCAGATGGCGTTGATTGCTGGAAAAAGCATGTGATCTCGGAAACGGCTCTAAGTTTTTCGCAAAAATTTGATATATGGGGGTTTTCGGGGACGGTTCGCTACTGTTTAACTAATTTTTGTATCGCTGAACTCAGGTTCGATAAATTCCCAGATAGTTGCCCAGCCACCAACCAGCGCCAACTGTGCAGTCAATATGCTAATAAAAAAAATATCGCTGATTTTCTTTGTCAAAGTTGGCTTGTAAAAATCATCAAGCCATTTGCATTATAAGTCGGTACTTAACAATCTTCAACCTATAACCATTATTATCTAACCAACAGAACTTGTTACGCCGCCAACCCTCGCCCTGACGCGCTGATGAAGGAACAGCTGGTGGAGATGACAGGCCTAAGCCCACGGGTCATCAGAGTCTGGTTCCAGAACAAACGATGCAAAGACAAAAAGAAAACTATGCAGCTCAAGATGCAAATGCAACAAGAAAAGGTGTGTACTTCTTCATTATTGAAACTCCTACTAAATATAACCTTGGGAACCATGTAGAAAGCAGGAACATATTCAAAGACCCGATTTTAGTGCTCAAATAAAACAACCTTTTCCATAAGACCAATATTGAAATCTCAAAAAAAGTTCTCTAGGTAGGTATGCAAAATGATTAATCAGCTTTTGCGATTAGTAATAAGAAATGAATTTATTTTTGAAATTTAAATTTGGGTTCCATGGAAGAATTTCTTTTATTTGAGCAGCAACATTGGGTCCTTAAATTTGTCCCTCGTTCATAAAGCCACCTTGTATAGCTGGTATACCATCAGTTTATTCGTAATTCGCTTGTCTTAGCTGATCTGACGGGTCAGCTAACTTAGAACAGAACGATGGCCAGGTGCTTACCAGGCACTAGATTAGTAGCTAGTAGCTGTCCCTTTAGGATTCATTAAGTCCTTTTCTACCATCTGTATACAGGTGATTATTTTGCAATAAGAAGTGACTTTTTTTTTGGGACGTCTATTGGAAGAAGTTGTCTTATTGAGCACCAGAATCGGGTCCTTGGATATGTCCCTCATTCATAATGACGGTGTCTATATGTATCTCTCCGTAAGTAAAACCAATATGGGTACAGAAACAATCGCAAAAGAATCTCCAGCCCCTCCAAAACTTATAAGCCATCACCTAAAAACATCATAATACCTAAACCTCTATAACAAAATATACATGAATTCAAAACAAAAGCTGGAATAGAAACACAATGTACAAGTAACAACACAACCGTCTCTATTGTCGAAGGTCCCAACTTATAATTTGCCACAGGAAGGCCGACGTCTCGGGTACATGTCCATGGGAGTACCATTGGTAGCCGGGTCTCCGGTGCGGCACGAGCCAGCTGGATCACTGGCTCTGGAGGTGACAGCCTATCAGCCACCCTGGAAGGCTCTATCTGACTTCGCGCTCCATGCTGACCTGGACAGGGCACCGCAACACAGTGCGGCGTTCCAACAGCTGGTCAACCAGGTTAGTTCATTTATGAATTTATACAGCAGACGAGTACACGGATTAGCTGATGGTAAGCAATCAGTGACGATTACTCACAACACCAATTGAAGTAAAGGGGTGTTGTTGGTCTTTTCAAATGCAAGTAAGTTCTTGAACTCCATTGAATAGGACGGCAAACGTGCAGACGGATTACCTGATAGTAAGCAATCAGCGCCATCTATGGACCCGTAACAACAAAGGACGACAACGACAACGAAGGTAATATTACGAGTGCGTCGCGCTACCTTTTGGGGATAAGGGATAAGGAGATTTTAGAATTGGGGAAGGATTGAGGGAGTTGAAGGATTGGGCCTCCAGTAACCTCAATCCCACGACGAAACACAACGCTGTGATTGTTGCACGCTGGCTTCTGTGAGACCGTGGTATCACTTCGGTCGCCGACCTATACCTACGAAGCATGGCTCTCCCACACTTTATAAGTATGGTTAATAAAGAAATCCATTATATTTCAGATGCACGGGTATGACATACCAAACCTGCCACCGCCGCGCGCGCCGCACGAGGACAACTACGTGACCTACCTAGAGAGTGATGACTCTCTCCCCCCCTCCCCCTAGTGCCGTGTCACATAAACGAAGCACTAAAAAAGTGCTTAAAACATTCAATACTAAAAAGCCATTGTTCTATCTTCTACGGTGTTTTGTGAGTGGCTTCGAGAACAGGAGTTTTCGTGAGGATAAGCTTCCTACCAACTTGAAATTTTCATTTCGTGTACTTAAAGTCACCATAAAATTATATATAATGTAAATACACCATTGACGTGAATCAAGGATGGCATTTCGTCTTGAAAGACCAGTTTTTCATTTGAAATGAAGCTTCGATACGTTAAAAAAATAATTAAAATCTGTAAAAATATCGAATAAACTTGATTCTGTTATAGTGATAGGATAAGGCTAAAAAGATACTTCTTCAAAATATCGAATATTTTTGAGCAATAATAAGTCCTTACTTAATATTTAAAAAAAAGGTTTTAATATCACTTTAATAAATAAAATGCCTGTCTTATTAATTACTTATTCATTTTAAGTGGACAATTTTTATGTATAAAGTTAAAACATTATAACTGCCCCACAATATATAATATATATGTGACACAAAATATATATACATATTTAGGTACTTACTGAATTAATTATGTGATGTTTACCATTAGAATGTATTATAAAATTGTACTTATAAATTACTAGGTACTTATAGTTTTTACCTTTGGGTATAATCTTTTTTATTACATATTTTTTTTATTAATGATCTGTTAGTGTTTTCGGTGTAAATAGATTTCATTGTAAATATTATTGTATAAATTATGAATAAATGTAATTATATTATATTTACTTGGTACTAATTAATGTAAGCGTGTATCAAATAAGGCCTTCTTTATGTAAAAACGTAGTCACTTTTATACATACTATTTTTATTTTTACGTGTAATTTATAAATAAATTGACATTTAAATTTCATTAAACAGAAAACTTTGGTAAATTATTACCAACTTATTGGTTCAGTTCTAATTGTCGCTAGTTTCTTTGTAAAACAAGTTACTATGCTTAGGATTGTATTAGTTCCAATTTTATCCACCTGAACAAGTAAGTTGGTAGTAATTTATTTTTTACGGATATTTTTTTATTGTTGTTTTTTTTTATTTGTAACACATATTCTAGACAATTGTATCGAATTGTAAAAATAAATAAATATATCGATTTTTATCGTTCTATTTCGATAGGTATTACCAGAATTTAATTTATTTGGTAGCTAATTACACTGTACTTAGATTGTGAGCATAATATTATTAATAAAAATATTGAGTACGTATTAAATGTCGATTTTGGTCCTTTATTGGTGCTTGTTCCTTTTTTCTTTACCTACATCCCCTGTAGTTTTGATAACTCATCAATAGTGAATAAGTACTTATTTCTTTTAATAAGTAGGTAAATACCTAGTCCAGAGTTTGGGATTGTGCCCGGTGTGTCTATGGGATTAAAGTCGGGTGAAACTGGAATAATGTCCGTCCGTTCAGGAGAAGGAACGGGATGGTATTAAGTCATTAAGAGTCTGACACTCCTTCTCACCAAAGGGAGAAAGAAGTAATTTGTTGAATTTCGTACTGAATGAAACAAACAACAAAACTGAAAAGTGGACTAAGGATACAAGTATCTCTATTAAGCACATGGAATTCATATATCAGGAAAATACTATGAAATGCGACACAAATATTCATTCAGTAAATTTTTTTCATATCATAGGTTGCCAAACGAGCTGATAGATTAGATTAGGGCCCTCGTAGTACCAAAGGAATCAAAATAAGTGAGTTGTCGGCCTCTTGTGGGTTATATGGGATTTAAGGATAGGGGATTTGAGGATTTAGAATAGGGGGAGGTGAGAAGAATTGAGTAACCGGTAATCTCACTCACACGGCGAAACTCAACGCAAGAGTTGCTTCAAGCCAGTTTTCTGTGAGGTTGAGGTATCACTCCGGTCGAGCCGACCCATTCGTGCCGACGCATGGCTTTGACACAATTAGAATTAATGTCTCATTGGCTCTTCCCTTTTAATGTGATTATAAATAAATGATCCGATTGATATTAAATCATAAACACAGTATAATTATAAACAAGATAAGCTAGGATTCTCTTTTACACGAAATGCTAAAAAAAGAATAATAATAATATAGATTAATTCATATATTGTAACTAACGCCATCTAAGCACGTAGACTGGAAACTGATCCTATCGTTACATTGACAATGTTAGCGCACGACATGGGTACGAAACGGTTCATACCTAAACACATAGATGGCGCTCTATTCGGACGCAAAATTTTGAGTACTGAAGGACCAAACCAAACAATTTATTTGTACAACAGTAGATGGCGTTGTTTTAACATTATATTTTTTTACTGTTTATTTTTTCATCAGGTTGCTACATCGTTTTGGATTTTCCATGTTGGTTATTTATACCTAGTCTAGCCATAAATACTGTAACAAATAAAAATATATTTTTTCTATTGCATATTTTCTATTGCTACGGAGTGGTAATATGGGGGAACTCTGTGGATCTAATCCGAGCATTTAGAGCACAAAAAAGATGTCTACGTGCATTATGTGGTGCAGACTACTTAGACAGCTGCTTACCTTTATTTAATAAATATTGTATCCTGCCTTTGCCCTGTTTGTATATTTACGAAATTTCTATTTTTGTATACAAAAACCCGGATCTCTTTATTAAGAAAAAATCTGTTACTAGTAGAAATAGTAGATACCCTAATAAATTATTTGTACCGAGCCAACGCACAACATTATATAGCAGAAACTCATATTGCATGGCTATCAAAATTTACAATAAACTTCCAAATGACCTAAAAAATCTTAACCTAATGTCTTTTAAAAGAAAATTGTTTGAGTTTTTGCTAAATAAATCAGTGCCGGATTAAGCCAGCGCGGGGCCTGTAGCAAATTTTGTCAAGGGGCCCTTGGTTTGGTAACGGTTCTCAAAAGGGTATTAAATAAAACAAAACTGTTACGAATAAACTTTTCTGTGTATATTATGGGCTAATTTAGTGATTACACTTTCAATATCGACTTCTTTAAGCAAGTCATGCTCTATATTCAACAACGTGAGATGATTAAGACGTTCTTGGTCCATAGTGTTCCTTAATTCATTTTTAATTCGTTACAACGTTGAAAAAGAACGTTCGCCACTGCAGTTAGTGATCATGAGAGAGAGATAAGTAAATACGCAAGGCAATTTCTAAATTTGGGAAACACGATTCTAAAGAATTATTTAATAAAAGTTTATAAAATTGCAGTTCCAGAGGCTCCTGTTTCTTGCTGTCAATTACAGTATCCACATCTGTTTTCAGCAGCTCTGCGAACTGCACTAATACGCCGCCTAGGCTGTTCTCCAAATCATCTTCGTAAGCACTGAACATTTTGACGTTTTTTTTTCAAAATCTCTTCTGATGGAAGAGATTTTATCTGTCGAAATACTTACTTCAAAAACACTAGTAATTTTATGATATGCTTTCATACGTTTAGTTATATATTCTATTACGATAGATTATAGACAGTACGTTATCAATTATGACAATAAACACCTCAAATTCGAAACGTTATCCAGGCGTTTGATTTTCAACAAAGTCGTCGAGTGTATTAGAGCCGCTAAAATGGTCGTAAATACTTTGTATTTCGCTTGATTCGTCGTGATGTCTGTTGCTGGTATTCTTCACCGTTAGTTAAATTTTACAATACAATATCTGAAAATGTGGATCGCATTGCTTGGACGCTATATAATGATTCATAAAGGGCGTATTCCGTATTAATGTCTTGATGAGACGATTGTGAGATAAATAATTTTTAACAAAAATATTCCGACTTCAAAAAGTAACCTAAACGGCAAAAAAATAAATTTTCTTTGTAGAAATTAATACATGTTTTCATTTAGTTAAAATAGAAAATAATATTAATAACCATTTTATAATTTTGAATTCGGTGCCAAGCAAAACAAAAATAGTGTAATCTTTACCTATATAGCTATTGTTAGTTTGATGATTAGGAGGCACCGATCAATATTTTTCTAATACTGCTGTTTGGTATGACGTGGATGACTCACTTGGCAGAGCAAGCAAGGATAATGGTTTTCGAATGAGAAGACGACGACTCTTACTTGAGACCGAAAATCACGGTAATAGTAGTAGTCCTGAGTTAGTCACTGTTCAGTGCTGTAAATCGTTGAGGAATTCCCTCGACTGTCAATGGTCTCCATTATCATTTATACTGCATACCTTCAAATACTAACCTAATCCGTATAGGTGCAAAGTTCTCATCAATATAAATGAATTAAATTACTCCAAATACTCAAAGAGATCTTACGACAGTCTTCCTGCTCCATCATCAGATTTACTCCATAACTTCATTGTAACCCATATACTTAGGTGCGAAGTTTTCATCGATATAAATTAAGTCCAAACACGAGGTAGTTACTGTGAACCGTTCAGGAGTTCTCTAAGCGGTCCTTCGTTCTCATCATCAGACCCCTAATGACAGTTACAAACTTACGACCAATCTTGGTGCAAAGTGCTCACCAATACGAATCATTTAAGCCCAAACACAAGGTAACTACATCAAATAATCAAGGAGATCCTTCAACTGTCTTCCGGCTCCATCATCAGGTCAAGTTCGACTATCCGCAAGTTGTAGCGTTGTAAAAACCTACTAAAACTACATGCAAAAGCACTACTCGCCCCTACAATTTTCGAAAGTTCCCCTCGGTTACCCTAGCGCCACAGCCCTAGCGCGCAGTTCGGGTCGGCTCGGTTCGCCCGCCAATGGCACCAACCGAGCGGACAAATACTCGCTTTCTTTTTCTTACGCATACAAAATACCGACTATTTGTCTTTTTTCGTTTATTTCGCTAAGAAAAAAATAAATTTACTTGTAGTTTGGTAGTAGTTTTGTAACCAAACATTTTCTACATAGGTCTTGCTGTTGAAGTGGTGTAATTACAAAATATCATTTGAGCGCGGGGCCCTCCAATTCGCGGGGCCCGTAGCATTTGCTACTCTTGCTACGTGGCTAATCCGGCACTGAAATAAATGTTATTATTGCACTAAAGATTATTTAGATGACCTATCATAGACTTAGAATAAGTAGT